ACCGCTCTGCCCTCATCTATCCAGCTGGATATTCCTTCGTAGAAGGTGATCAGGTTAGTCAAGCAGGATTTCCCCTTGGTGAATCCATGCTGGCTACTCCTGAGCACCTTCTTCTGCTCCATGTGTCTGGAATGGAAAGAAACAATGGAGGGGACCTGTCATGCCAATGGGATCCTGGCTGCATCAGGGGGATCTTGCCAGTAGGTAGAGGGAGGGGATCCTGCCCCTCTGCTCAGCTCTGGGGAGGCCAAACCTGAAGCACTGCGGGCAGTTCTGGGCTCCCCAGGACAAGAGGAAAGACTAAGGGAGTTGGGCCTGTTTAGCTTGGAGAAGAGAAGGTTGAGAGGGGATCTGATCAATATGTATAAATAGCTGAAGGATGAATGTAGGGAGGAAGGGGCCAAACTCTTCTCAGTGATTACCAGTGACAGGACAAGGGGTGATGGGTACAAGTTGAAAAACAGGMAATTTCATAGCCCAAGCTGAAAGTCACTGGAGTCCCATTTTTACTAAAAGAAAGACTCAGATCTCCTAAAGATGACTTTGGATAGTTTACGATCTCAGATATCATTGTAGCTGCAGGATGTCCCTTCAGGATCACTGATGTGTGTCAACTTGGGAAGCTCTAGCTGCTTTTCCAGCTCTGCTCCCCAAAAGGCCACCTTTCCCCTTGCCCAAGCCTAGGGGAAGTAACTAATTCAGCCTATCGACCTCCTGAGCTGAGGCTTTGTTTGGTAGATGAGCAGTCAAGCTGTTGTCCTCTTAGAACAGTTAATGAGCTAGTTTTCTGAAGGAACAACTGCACCACCAAAATCCCAATTTGTCCTTCATCCTTCCACAAGGACCTTCCGCTCCCCAAAGGGAATAAATTTCTTTAGCTTTTACATCATTTGTTCTCAAACAATTATGGAAAGAAGGGAAAAAAAAAAAAAAAAGAAATAAAGCACTCTGATGATTAAGCTGCTGAAGGCCATCTTTCACCTGACAAAAAAGCTTTTTTGTCAATGCCAGCCTTCAAAGAGGTCAAGAATAAATAAAGAAGTAAGTAGTTGTGAGTCTTCCTTATATTAATATCCAGAACTAAGAAATTGATCCTGCTTGAGCAGGAAAGTTGAACTAGATGGTCTCCAGAGGTCCCTTCCAACCTCAGTCCATCTATGATAGAGATGGAGGGTTCACAAATATAGGGCTCTGCCACTTTTATCCTCTCACCCATCTATATAACACATACAGAAATACTCCTCAAAAAAGGAGCAAGAATATTCATAAAGATCACACTCCCAGAGCAAAGGATGGTTTTTGAAATAACTTTTCTGGGATCCTCTCTCTAAACTGGCCTTTGCAATCGAGCTCAACGTTTTCTTGCAAGGAATAGCTTTTCGACAGGCAAAGTATCATTAGATTTCTCTTTCCCTCAGCATTAGCTTCATGAAAGAAATGGAGGAGGAGAAAGGTTTTACTCCTGTGTTGCTAAATCCTTGTGACCATTTTGCAACACTGATAAAACCTGCCTGGTGACCATCACAACAAGGAAGTAATTTGAGGATGTCCAGAAAGATTCCTGAGAAAAGAGACCCAGGAATGCGGCTTAAGTCATCCAAAAAGAAAGTTTCTTTGCTCTAACAAACTAGTGCACTGACCTACCTCAGTACAACATCAGCTTGGACTCCATATATCTTCTGCTCCACTGCCTTCTGGAAGGACATCAGAGTGTTCTCTGGTGCCAACTATACAGGGAAAAGCAAAACAAAGAGTAATAAATGATTAATAGCAAGTGGAAAGGTTTAAAAGGTTTACAAAGCAATTGCAACTTGGATGATGCTGGGAGGAAGGATTAGAGAGCCAAAACAATCTTGTTTTGAAGAATACATGCTGGACAGTTACACTGGGGTACCAAGCATCCTCCAGACAGATTTGTAGCTGACTGAAACCTGAAGACAATCAATGGATCTGAATCCACTGATGATATTTCACAGCAAGATAAAGTTCAGCGCAAATCTGTGATGCTGGATGCCCAACTAGCCGAAACCTGTTACATTAATACTTATTATATTAGAGAGATGCCCACCAACATGGTTCCCAAACAGTGGCTTGATAAGGACCCACAGARAGAGCCATTATAGAGAGACAAGAGTCCATGAACCAGGATATCATCCATAAAACGAAAAACGGAGGGAAAAAAAAAAAGTAGATCTCTGGTTCTGTAGCACACATTTTATTTCCACATCTACTCATTCACTCAAGTGATCTATTGCTAAATGTGAAGATCAATTGCTTTCTCTTAATTACAAATGTTCCACCTAGTCCTATAGTGATAAATGACAATCATAAAAAAGTAAAAAATCCTCAGGCCTCGAAAATTTATTAATCCTTATCTGTAAAAGCCGTAGAGAGAAGTCTTGGTTTAAATTTCTTCCTGTTGACTGCAGCAGATAGTAAGAGGGTTAGGGCCTGTTTAAGAATAGCTACAGCATAATGAAATACTCTTCCCCCCCCCCCCAGCTCTTCTCTGAAAGAAAACAATATAGTAAACCTTCCAAAATTCACAAAACAAAAAGTAGATCATAAACAGGCAATTACCTGGAAAAAAACTGAGACATTGCTATTAAACAAGATTGCTCCATAATAAAGCAAATTTCATTTTTTATTCAAAATTTTCTTTCTTTAGAGCATCTTTTATGCAGTTAATCTCTGCCACCATGAGGATTTAGAAGCATCTATCGAAGCACACTGAATATACCCAAGTTATGATTTTCAAAAATTACTAAAAGGTTTTGAAAGGTTGGAGAAATAAATAATTTTAAGGCTAAAGATCACAAAYGCATGGTGTAAGTAATGTGCTCAGTACATACAAAAACCTGATCATGAGTTTAAAGCATCTTTAAGAAATCTATATTTTCTTAATAGGCRGCCAACTTAGGTGCTCAGGACAGAGAGTTTTGGTGTAAAAGCAGCTAGACCAAATACCCTGCTCTGAGTCATCTCCAACACAACCTTTACATAGCTCAGATACCACTGTCACATTCCTCTGGTCCAAGGTGCCCATCAATATTTGTCCATTTTTCTGTTTATTTAACACAGGCAACACTGCAGCACATTATCTTCCCAGCGAAGCCTCCCAATCAAAGACAGCCTTGTCTAAGAGGGCAACACCTCCACTACACCCCCTCACACATGGCAATGATGGGTCACGTAAGGTGAGGCTTAAAGAGCTTTCCTGGTAACTGTACGATGCTCAGAGCTGTCAGCAGGGAGCAGCAAGTGCCTAAAGATCCCAGGCTGGAGGCTTCAGCTTCTCGAGTTGCTTTCAGGATCTCACGTTTCTCCCCAAGTAGCTCAGGTTTCTCAGGTTGAACATTGCAAGGTGATCCAGTCTGTACAGAGCAGGGYGCAGTATTTGCTTTCAGAGGCTTCAGCAATTGCACAGAAATAGAGCAGGTAGCATTCAAACCTGAGGCAACTGAGACAGAGCGACCAAAGGACAAGGCACAACTGCCAGTCTGAGCTAGRAATGCTTAATAGGAGGATACACACAAGCTCCAGGTTGAGGCACTGCCTCACACCAAGTAGCAAATGAATCTGGACCCCTAAGCAGCCTCATCAGGGATGCAACCATACCAGGAATAGAAGAACAAAGTGTGTTAAACTAAGTCTTCTCAGTCAAGGAAGACTTGGAAAAAGAAGCCTGTACTACCTACACCAAGTGATCTATGTAAAAACCCTTTAACAAGGGTAGGAAAAGGATGGGCAGCGCTGCTATTACACACACACATATGACTAGGAGCTCATTTTGCATGAAATAGAGCTAACGAATGCAAACATTGCTACTCCCCCTCTGTAGAGGTGGGCCACGATGACCAGTCTTGTCCTCATCCAATCTGGCCCCCAGGCTCTAGCATGGCAGGGTCCTAATCTAGTGAGGATACACAGGGCTCATGGATAACAAGATTAAAACACTTCTTGTCTCCTTCTCTCTCAGTGTATTTTGTTTTCTGCAGAGCCAGGATCAACCCTTGGTCGGATGCCAGCTCTCTTGAGATGCAGCCAATTTGATGACCCCAGAGGAAGATTTAACCTAAAAAGCAGGGCAGTCACAGCCCGCACTGCCAAAGGTGCTCAAAGGAAACGGAATCAAACAGATCCTAGGGGGCAAATCAATAGGCAAGAGCCTGTGGAAAGGCAAGTTTAGACAGAGCCAAGATCATCTGCAAAAGTCACTGATGAAAGTCACATAGAACAGTCTCTCTGGGATGGACCTTTAGTTCATCAAGCTGCCAAAATTGATAATCTGAAGATAGTGATGATAGTTGCCCATCTTGGAGGCAGTACTACAATATGAACTCTAGTAAGCCTAAAAAAGAAAAAAATCAATCCAGTTCTAAATTCATTTTGGCCATCCTGTCCTCAACACTGAGAGGGATGCTACTCAGCCTGACCTCACAGAGAGACAATCTTAGCCCCAGAAGTATTGCTGTCTCATCTCCAAGTCCTTCTAAGGTTTCAGACCAAGCTTAGCATCTCAGGAAGGAGGGAACTTAGCTGGGACTTGCTGGAGCTGCATGCACCTGTTTCCACACTCCTTTCCCAGGAACTCAACTCCAACACAATTTGTGTTAGACTTGCCAAGGTGCAGATGAAAAAGTGTTTTGACATTGCTCTAACAACAGACTCACTTAGGGTCAGCCCAACCATTAAAACACAGAGTTTGGTAGTYAAAACATCACCCTCACCTTAGCACTACACTAGATGCTAGGGACATCCTTTTCAACAGGCTCACAGGCAGATCAACATCTAAACTGCTCGGAAACAGCAAACAGCACTGATGTCAACAGAATCACTCCCTGTAATGCTGTGCCTGCAAGGGCAAGTGCTGGTTAGTCTCCACAGCACCACGTTGCTGTTATTTGGCAGCCCAATTCCCACACATGCCATATCCTTCCACAAAGGACATTACAAGCCCTCCAGGCAAAGACCTCATCTTCTTGTGATCATGTCACGGTAAGTTCCTTGCCTGGCCAGGGCCAGTCACCCTTATATAAATAATTACATCTCCAAATCAGTCCACCATCAATGCAAAGGGCCGTTTTCCGCTGTCTCGAAAGCTCTCGGTTGTTCCCAGCCCAGAGGGAAGCGAGTGAGCTAGCACGCAAGGCTCATCATCTCCAGGCCGATGACACAACCTAGGAAAGCATCAGCCAGAAGCCAGGAAAGCAAATTTAACCCTGTCCCTTGAAATCAGACACTGCCTATTCCCGGAGGATCCCTTGGCATCACTAGGGAGCCAGGGCTTGTCTTCRCAGTGACTTCATATGCCCTGCAATGCAAAAGGGAGCACCAGAATAACAGATATTTTTGTCGTCTCAGGCTGCCTGTCTCCCTTCCAATCTCCAGGGAAGAGGCAGCTGAAAAATAAAAATCCAGTTTTTGGATTTTTGAGATGGATCCAAGCAAGACAGTCATTGCTACAGCGGTTGCTTACTGAGTTTAGTGCTGATTTCTTGTTTTTTATTTTTTTTTTCTCGTGGATTGGATTTCCCATTTGTGATGGGTTTCATCCTTAATTCAACACCAGCAGACAAATTTTGTTTGAGGCCCAGACCCAGGTTTGCAACCATCCAGAGTAACCGGACACAACCAATTTCTTAAGAAATCAGTGGTGAAGCAAAGGAAGCTCTGGGATATAAACCAGTGATTTCACTCCAAAATCCTCCTCATATAAACCATGAAAACATGCACTGAAAACCACAGACAGTCCATTTGTGAGGTTTCTAGAAGTTGTTCCTTCTTTCTGTGTATGGCTTGACAGAGTCATCCATTGCAAGAATCTGCCTGTTATTCACTACTTCCCACTAGATCAAGAAGGCAGAAAATAATGTTTTGGAAATTACCCATTTAATGCATTCAAACTATTTCTGTGCTTGGAAGTCAACTGCAAATGCTTTAAACCAGATCACTGAGGTCAAGATCTTTGGACCTTCTTAACAAACATTGCCAGAGTGTGATATGTAAAATGGTAGAGCTTTGCTACTGTCACCACACTGTATTTTTCCCCTAATTAGCCAGCTTGACAAGAGTTTTTTTTAAAAAAAAGAAAATAGCACTGCATTATTTSCATGTGTAGGGAGGATAATGAAGAAGTTTGCATAGACAAAAAGTCACAGATCACCTCTGGCATTATGCACCAAGCTACGCTGAAGGACTTGATCTTTGTCTTATTGACAAGCTTTTGTTTTATTGACAAGCTTTAAGGATATTTTTCCGGTCCTTTTGGAATCATTAGCATCACTGTAAAACTAAATTTGTAATTTATTCTGCTGACCAAGAAAACCACCATCAAGTCATCAAATTGAAGATTTTGAAGGCATTTAGTTACAGCTAGGTAAGYGCTTGTGGAGGACGGGAGAGGCAGYAGACCCTTGGAGCAGCAGGACATCTAGGACACCCACATGAGGGCAAACAACCTTGCCACACGCTGCATTGCCACAAGCCATTATCATCACACAAAGGACAAGCACATGGCTCTGCATCAGAATCAGAGCAACACAATCTATTTTCCTTTTTTTTAGCTCTYCTTTTAACCCGTATCTGCAAGCCCCCAGGAATTCCAGGTGTTTTGGAAAGCCTCCATACTCAACATTTCTGGAAACAGTTCATCTAGACTGAAAGGAGGTGAGAAAGTATAGAACAAAGACAAAAAGTATTCTCTTGAACAACAGAACAGAATCTTAAGCCAAAAAAACAAAACAAAACAAAAAAACACTGGAGATTTAAGACTAGATGCAGGAGACATTCCATATTTGTGTTACATGCATAAAACCCAAAGCTTGATTTAACAAGAGACTACCTAACCCTATATAGATTTATACAGATGAATACCAGTCCTTGCACAGGTCTGATGGAAGACACTATTTGAAAATGTTGCTATCAGTTGGACCAACAGACAGGTTAACCAGCWATATACGTAACAGCTGGAGGTGGACAAAATGTACAGCAGAATAAATGCTTGATGTCAGCAGCACAAATGAGACAAATTGAAGAGGCTCAGAGCCCTTAAAAAAACAAAGCATTCCCATTCTAATCAGATGGCAGTGAATTTTTGGTACACAAGATAAAATGAAATAAAGGTCCTTAAAACCACCTAGAAACCAAAGTACAAATCAAAAATGAGCTCTTCARTCATTAGATGACAACTCTCCAATAGGCCATAATGATAAACAAGAATTTCACTTCTTTCATCAATAGCTGGTGTCATGAAATGTGGTTCTGCCCCACTCAAGTCAGACATGTTTGCCATCAATTGTCTATTTTTGCCTTTGAAGGCTGCGTAAAATTCATGATCCAACAATCTCAAGAAGGTTCCTCCCAGCATAAGAGGGCGACGCAGCCGGCCACGTGGACAAGAAGCTCAGAGACCTGGTGACATCCGAGAGCCGAGCACTCCAGAGCCCTTCCAACAACAAGCCAACAGCTGCTTCATCATGAGTGTTCTCAGTGCTGTTAGGACATGTCTAAAACCAKCTGTCTAGGTGGCTTGCCAAAAGCGTTTATTTTGATGCTATTTGTAGCTGCAAGCTCTGAAAATAGAGCTATTCTTACCTCCAACACCTTAGGTTTGTTCTAAAAGAAATTGGGGCTAAACAGCATTTTACTTGGTCCCAGTAAAAAGAAGCAAGTATCTAGGCTTTATGCAATTGTCCTAAGAAAGCAACTCTCGGTGTTGTTAACATTTTGGGTAATTTACTGAACAGAATTTAAGTCAAAGGTCGTGATTGGCCTAGTTTTTCTCATGGGGAAAGTACATCAAGGATCAACAACTTAAAAGGAATTGGATGCAACAAAGGTAACAGCTTCTTCAGGTTCCAAACCCAAAGACAGCCTGCAACAAGACTCAAACACTTCATGAGAAAAGGTGTCTGGAGGAGACTTTTAAGATACAGATGGCAAAAGAAGTTGGTGTCCTACTGGATGAAGTTCTCATTTCCATTTTGGATTTGGTCCTGTCTCCCATTTCACACCCTTGTGTCCATTTATTCTCGGCAAAAAGGACACACCAGAACAGGGGCAAAAAAAAAAAAAAAAAAAAACACAAATCAGCTCTGCTGTCATGGAAAACAAATTGCGACTAGATTGCTGCAAGAAGAAAAAAAAAGGACTGCTTTGAAGATCAAAGACACCAGGTCCTAAAAGAGTATGTCAAATTTAACCTGTTAACACGCAAGGGTTAACATGCAACCCCATCTCATGTTTCAGGGTATCAGACAATTCCTCCACCTGTCAGGGTAGAACCCCTTCAAAACTCATGAGTATCACATGGTTTTAAGTGCTAGTCCCTTAAGCTAGCCCCTGATACTTTTTTGATGGGACACCAGAAGAGCAGAAATGGATGTGGAGGCTGGATGGCTAAYTTAAAAGGAACCTTCGGGAAGAAACTCTAATTGATGAGTTACACACCTGCTCAGAAAAAGGACATATTTATCACCATGAAAAGCGATAATTTAGGCACAGTGAAAAGTTTAGGCAAAAGGAACTTAAGGGCAGTCATTCAGGAAGGCGTTCCTCACAGAGAGTGAAGACACACAAGGGAATAGGGTGACGCCAGAAGGTCTTTGAAGGTTCTAGCTATAGACAAATCTTCAGCCTGTGTGYAAACAGCAGCTCTCCTGCACTCCAGCAAGTCCATGCTTCCTCTAGTTGTCCTTATCAGGACATTTTCCAGTTTTCTCTTGGAATGCTATTTAAAATGCAAGGGAATTTTCCTCCACCACTGTTTCAATGCAAAATATACAAGTCATATGACATCCGTTTCTCACTTATCCCCTCCACAGTATAAGGAGGGCAGTGAGCTGCATTCATACAGGTTTTGTGAATGCTGCACTTTCCACTATTACAGGGGAAAAAAAAAAAAAAAAAAAAAAGAGGAGTGTGTGGTGCATGGAGGAAAGCAGGTTTTGGGCAGCACAAGGAATGACATTTGCCACTGTCCATGAAGTGGGCTGCATGCACTGATGCATGAATCCTGTATCCTTCAGGAGGCATGCCCATCCAGGGCATCTGCAGCTGCTCCCTTGCCATCAGCCCTCCAAAATTCTTTTTTTTTTTTTTTCAGGGCTGCAATTTAGCCACTCCATTCTCCTTTGCTGGTTTTTGTCAAAACAGCACTCAACCACACTTGTGTTGTTCTAGAATAAGGGCACTTGATWACAAATTCAACATTACAGAAACAGTCTCATCTGTCTGGCCAGGCACCAGCTCTTGGACTCAAACAGTCTGAGCAGYTGTTTGCACAGCTTCCAAATCCCATTTGTCTTCCTTGGGGAGATTTGAAGCAACCATTGCCACTGCAGTGCTTTTATCACCTCCCCTTGCACTAAATCTAGTATCACCTCGGGTCCCAGGGTGCCAGGCTCTGTGGATTTTCAACCTTGACATTCCCTATGCGAGGGCATCTAGGTCCTACAGCCCAATCTTTACTTGGGCTTTGTTCTCCTCTCCAGCTCTGCTTGTCMATTTCTCCAAACTAAAGCTACATAGGTTTGGGTTCAACAGTAGAAGTCCAGTAAGTCTTCTTGTGAAAAATAGATCCTATTAGGAGAAACGCCTTAGGACAAGGCATTACAGTCACTATTTTCCAAGTAGATACTGGTAATAGAGTTTGAGAATTTACAGTGAAGGTTAGATATAGCTCTGCAAACTCAAGATGACATTTGAGATGGTRACAGGCTGGGCAAGAAGGAAAGTACAGAAGAAGGTTTAACCACCTCTCTCTGGTTCTTTTGATTATTGCAATTAGTTTCTTATCCATCTCAGTTTCACTGCTCAAGGTCACCTGAGACACAGCTCCACACATATCATGAAGTATCTTCTACCATTGCCCTCTGCACTCTACCATATAAAAGGGGTTTATTTTCAACAGGTTTTTTTCCATATGTAAGTGTCTKCTGGCTCCAGGAAAGAATGTGAAGCAAAGCAACACACCAGGCCTCTGCTGGGAGTCTTGCTCAAGATAAGGCACTTCATGGTTTATCGAGTCTAGCTTGATCCGGACAGAAGGATTCGGTTTGTTGGTTTGTTTCTTTAGAAAGCTGCAGGGGGGCACACAGGTCTAAGAATCTTACAGGAAGGCAGTGTCCTACCAAGTTTTAGTGATTTCCTGCATGGCAGGAAGGACACGGAGTCCATGTTCTCACATGGCTGCTTCTGGGATTCAAGTTGATACAAACTCAGCAGGACAGGAAAAAGCATTTGTCATGCCCAGAACTTTACTCCACCACCCACAGAGGCAATATAGTTAAAAGAGTGGCTCAAATTAAGCTGGAGTTTCAAGGAATTTCTTAAAGAAAAAGCCACAGAAAAAGAGAGAGGAAATTAAAATAAAATACTCAGCATCATGGCCAGCATCCACTTTACCTAGCAAACTGCTAATACTCACTCTTGGACTTAGAGAGAAGTTCAAGCAGACTCCAGTTTGCCAAATAGGTTTTGGCATTCTGCCTATATTTTTTTTCTTCTTTGAATGCCAGCAAGAGAGCTGCCTTTGAAGCCACCTGCAAGACCAGTGGTTATGTGCTATAATGTACAAGTTCTTCATCATTCTTCAGTCAATGTATAGGTAGGGATAAATACACAATAGATCCAGGTGCAGAGCACCCAACCTAGAGCAGACCTTGGTCAATACATCCTAGAACCACATCAAAGCATTACACGAGCCTAGTGCTGTACCCAAGCCAACAAGATTCGTTCTTTAGTCTCTACTTTCCCTCGTGGCACTAAAGTAAATGAGCTATTAGGGTTCGCATGCTGGAGATGGATAATATTCTCTAGACAATATGGATGGATAATATTCTCTAGACAGCAGCACGGAGATCATCAGTTCCAAAACCAACATCTGGTAGAAGAATCAGATAACACAGTACTAATAAAACAGTCCTACTCACCATGGGTGCTCCACGGTGACCTATAATAGCCGGTTTTGGTCCCAGAGCCTTCTTCTCCATTATGCAAGGGGACGAAATGGTGAGAGGGACGAGGTAAAGTGCAACTACAACTGCGAGGTATGCAGTGAACATCAGCATCTGAGCAGCTGAGGCAAAAGAAATAGAAAGAGCTGGTGAAAATGCTAGTCCAGACTTCTCCATACCACAGCAGCAATGACAAGACACCAACCAGCTCCATAGACTGCTCCACAGCCAGTGCCTCCAGCAGAAAAGCACAGCTCTGTGTTTTGGCAACAACATCTTCCATTTTYACAAAGCCTCTTTAAAATATTGAAGTCCTGAGGGAAGTTTTCACTTCATTTTTTATCACTTGATTTTTTAAACACTTGAGGAAACAAAAAGCATCCCACCTAAAGTCCCAGAAACATAACCTAAAGCACTGTTGATTTTCAGTCCTTTGGGTGGGACAGCACCAAATTTTGGCCTACTTGACAGTGAGAATACAGCTCAAAGCAAACATATAAGGAATTCAAAAGAAGCCCATAATAGTCTGCTCTAGGCATACCTGCAGATCCTCCCTCAAATGGCAGCCTAATTACACACAGAGACATATATTTAAAAAGAGCCAGGTACAGCTTTACTGGCATGTTTATAAATTAAATCATAGCAACTCTTTCTTTTAACGGGCTCCCTGGATATTAAGTCTTTCCATCGACAGTCTTCTTCAGACACTGCTTCCCTGTGCTTAACACCCACTTCTTCAAAGTCTTTCACGAGTGCTGCTAAATACTCCCAAGGCTTGTATTCTACTGCTGGTTAAATACCAATTAATTTTTTTTTCTCTCTAAGAGCTAGCATAACAGTCTAAGAACATCCTGAAGAAAAACACTTTTGAGTGCACGGAATGAGTAAACTCTTACCTAAGAAAAACAGAAGGAAATCCAAGCCAGGACTGGGAGAGCCCATGGTGAAAAGGTAGAGCCACAGCAATGCACAGAACAACTTATTTCAGTGGACAGGACCAGAAACCAGATCCAGATCCAGGTCCACAACACAAAACCGGGTGACTGCATGTCCTTCACCTGACAGATCTCTTTAGGCCTTAGACCATATCTTAACACACATTTAAGGAGAACCTAACCATTAGGTATTCTAGATGAGCTGAGACATCTAGCTGGTACTGTAACACACACACACACACACACAAAAAAAAAAGCCCACAAAGGCCTTCAAAAGGCAGAAAACTCAGAAACCAAGGAGCTCCTGGGAAGCAAAAAGTTCTTGTAAGATACAGAAACCACTGTTCATTAGCAGGGGATGGTGTAATTACATTTTCTAAAGCAGAATGATAAAAAATCTAGATGTTTTTATTCACTTCATCATTGAAAACAGACCTTTCACCTCTGGGTCTGACGTGCTCCCAACATCAAAGCAGCATGTGGGATCTTCATGTATCCCCAGGCCAGGTGCATCATCTCTGGCTTCAGCAAAGTTTTTCCAGGGAAATAGTCACGTCCCTGAACTAGCACACATGGAGACCACCCAGCCCTAGGAAAGGAGCCTCAGGGCTGTCAACCCTCCAGTGGTATCTCTACAAGGCGAGCCAATATCATGGATGGAGGACATGAGTGGCACATAGCGCAAGAAAGATGATAGCGATGAGGTGGTACTCACTGGCTTTCTCCATTCTTGCAAACTGCCCAGCTATCAACCACGACAGGGCCGTGACCGCTGCAAGAGCTCCTATGTGCAGGAAAGGAGCTGTGGCCTGAAGAACATGGGAACAAGAAAGAGCAACTCATGAACACCCAACACCCTCCAAAATCATTTACTTTGCAGGCTCCATAAACCATCAGTCCTCTCCTATATTGGCTTATGCATCTATTTTTGACCATCTCTTTTTTCTAATCTTGACACTAGCACTCAGACCACTATGAGACCACTATGACCAAAGCCCAAACCTCCTTTTTGAGAGGAAAGTTCACCCAACAGACAGATTCTTGAAACAAGCCTCCTGAGACGCCAGGCAATTTCCAGCAAGACCCATGTTGCCAACAGACTTTTAAATTTCCTGTGGTCCAATTTCTTACCAGCTGAACATGCTGGCATATCACCAGGTAGCACAAGATAAAGTTTGAGATGGGCCCTATGAGTCACATTCCTGTTCTCCAATTGCCTTCCTAAATCTTTCAGAACTAGAGGAGAATCAACCAGTTCCGAGAAACATTAGTCACTTGCAGGAATGCTATTTTTTTCCCCCCTATGTAGCCGGATCCTCCCAAAGTCAGCAGTAATCACCAGTACAAACTCAGACCTTTCACAGATAAAATTTTTTGTGATGTGAAGAGAAAAAAGAGAGCAGTTGGATCAAGAAATAAACAGCTTTTAGTACTTTTCTAAGGCTAACACACAGTTTTTCAATGTGCCAGAATTGTTTCTTAAAACAGGACTAGAGCACACATGTCTTTTTTTTTTTTTTTTAAATACACATACATATTTATATGCAGTGTAAAAATAAACTCAGGGGAGCATTTGCAATGGCCTAGAAAAAGCATGATGTTTCAAGCTTGGACATGACATCCAAAGCATTGCTAGCCAAGACCATGGTTATTTCAGCCAGGAATTGCTCTCTCCTTCCAGCAGCTCTGAGTCACTCCCAGGCTCTTGTATTTCCCACCTCCAGCTCTACAGCTATGTCCTGTTTTGAGCTTAAAAAAAAATAGCCCAGGAAGCAGACTGGTATCATGACCTTGAGAAACTTATGGGAGCGTTGCCATGGGCTTTCTCATGGCCAAGATTTGATTTTCAGTGTTGGAAGTGATGGAACCGAGCAAGAAGACACCGAGTCCACAATAAGGAGCTATGCTGATCCATCACCCCTTTCCCATCYGACAAGAGCATCCCTGTACACAACTTACTTGAAGTGAAATAAATACCATCTCCCATTCGTCGTCCCAAAGCTGTGCTATCGATGACATGGTCACCACGGTAGTTATCAAAGTCGTCATCAGGCCAATCTGTGGCAGATATGAGATGTGTTTACTGTCACAGGCTTTGTTAGTATAGCAGTTTTMCCAATGAGGAAAGAGAGAGAAAGCATTTGGATGTGATATGCACCACATTTGGTATCACAATAAGTCTTCAGACCCATTAGGAAAGAGACAGGGCTCATGTGCTCTCCGAGCGCAGTCCTCCCCTTTCCTGTCACTGAAGATAAAACAAAACACAAGGCTAGATGGTCCCAGAAGAGCACATTTTATGAGTGATCTCTTGTGCTCTTCACATAGTGGCCAAAGGTGAGTAAATATCAGGTGATTTCTCAGGACAAGGCTTAATCCATCAGCTACCAGTCTCCCAGCCCATTGATCCTTCCATGTGGAGGCACCCAGAAATCTAAGTGGAACGATCAAGAAAGAGAATGCCACCCCCATTTTGAAGGTAAAAGGTTCAAACAGTCATAAGCTGCTATAGATACAACCCAAACTCAAAAAATCTGGCAGGTTAAATCTAGCCTCTCTCTGTCAAAGAAGAGTTGACCATGTTCTGCCTCTGTCTGGTCTCTCAGCTTCTACCATGCTAGAAGTCTGCCAGATTCAAAGGGTGCTGTTGCTCTGTGTCTTGATCTTATGCACTGTCTAGATCGGTAATGCTAATGGGAGACTTAGGGGGGGACAAAAAAAAAGGCCAAGTGATATATCATAAAGAAATGTTCATCTAGAAYGTGCAGGACATTTCTAGATTCATTTCAGATTTTCTTAACAGCTTAGATTCTTCTTGCCATAGAAATAAGAAAATGAGGGGAAAAATCACATTTCCAGCATTTACAAAAATCCATATTTTTGCAATAGCAGGTAGTTTAGTCTCAGTTTCTCATCTGTGAAAGTGGGCAAGGGAGATGGCCTGGCAGATTACACTCACAAGGGCTAGGATTGAGTTTGCCCCAGTCTGAAAAGCATCCATAAGCCAAGAGGAGCTTGCAAAGGAGTCCATCTCCAGGCACGGTCTGCATTTTCTTGTCTRTCTAGAAGTCCCAACCTCCATCCTCCTGGATCCGCATGCACATGGATGATTGCTCTTTGCCAGTCAGCCTCGCAATAGTCATTCTGCTCCTGCCTGTCCTGCGGTCAGACCTCTGRGCTGCCTGCCAGAGCGTAACACCAGCATCCAACGTGGATCAAATGAACTTCGCATCYGTTTTGTACCCAAAGCTCAACTCCCAATTCAGCGGCAACGGAAGACCTTGTCAACGGGATTACTTTAACACACACCTAATTCCCACTGACGTGCCAGTCCTGATGGAGCACAGAGGTGTCAAAAYACAAATGCATCTCCTACTTCATTATTTCCATGTGGCATCAGCTCTCATTTATTACTTTCTACTCTCCACCATGAATGTCCAACTTTGCTCTGATCCTCATTTCTTTTTTGCAGGATCAGAGAAGAAAGTTGAAAGGAATTACATTGCTCTCACACACAAGCCTTTCCTACACATTTTAATCTATTTTTGCAGGTAATTCAGCATGGCTACAGAGACATGAATATTAACCTTTTCCAGTCTCTTATCTCATCCTCTCTAGAAAGCTGAAGCAGGTGTAGGCTAAGGGAGAGACCAAGCAGGACGTCTAAGTTGTGATGAAAGGGGGCCTTTTTTGGAAGGAAAGGAAGGACGAGTGTCTGCAGGCAAGAACTAACCAATCTTCAACAAATTCCTCTTCTTGACTTACTCATCCAAACCCACCAGCCACCTGGAGCACATCTGAAAAAAAATCTCCCCATCTCCCCAGCAAAGAAACATATGTTAGACCCAAGAATCAACAACTTGTTTTTCAGCAGCAGTCTGACAGTCCCCACCTCCTCTCTGCATCACATCCCCTTATCCTGAGGAGGGAACATTGCCAGAAAGAGGGGACTCGGAGGAAGGAATGAGAGAACGGTGCTCTCCCTGGCCCTGGGGGAAGATGCATCTGTTGAGGCTCTGATCCTGCAAGACCTTGTCACACGCAGAACAAGTGATTTCAGGAGGTACTGTACATCAACAGATTCAGGGCTGGTACCTTAATTACCTATTAGCAGATTGTCTGTTATAACTGAACCCTGCCAAGCCTTTCTTTTTTTTTTTTTTGGCACTGTATCTCCCCAAACAAAGCTTCCTAGATACCATTCCTCTCCCTTTCTGTGCTCCAAAAAAACAAATCTCTATCTTCTGCAGCTTACTGAAATTCTAAATTGCTCAAAATATACTTATGCAAATCAGGACCTCCTTGAGTTTCAACAAATCCAAATCCCGACTCACAGACTGAAAACCTGCATCTTCCCCGTGTTTTTCTTCAAAGTTACTCCAACCACATCCTGAAGGGCCTCACAACTTCTCAGCTCCTCCACCAGAACTGGGTTCAATGCAGAAAGGGACACAAGAGAGGGACATTACAGGGCATCACATGGAGCTGAGGCAGAAGTCAGAGTGCTCTATTGACATGGTGCTTCTCAGTTTTCAAAACTTTATTCTCCCTGCAAGGACAGCAAAGTGTGTCACCAATCACGGATGAAAGCCCTGGTCCCAAGGCTTCCACTGCCACTACTGTACATTTGGCTCCATCCTCTGAGGCAAGAACACAAGCACTACAGCTACCTTAAGGTTATGTGCTTCCCAAAAACACTATAATAACAAGTACCCTGTGGACCACCCATTCTTTACACTCTTCTGTTTTATTRAGATTTCGCTCACTTCCAAGCAGAGAAGAGCCCTTTACCTTGTGAAGCCAGTGTAGGTTCATTTGCTGTCCCACAGCTATGTGACATAATGCCAGTATCTGGAAAGAAGAAGAGTTGGAAGTCAGACAATGGCACGTCACAACCAAGAAGCGTTTGCACGTGCAGCAGAGTGACACCAAACCAAAAGACAATCACAGGCTAGGACAGAAAGCAAGGCTGGGTTGGGTTGGGTTTGTCCTGCAGACAACACCCTCTCCAAATCAGGAGACATGATGGAAGAAGCCTTAACCACCAAGAAGCAGAGAGTTTGGTCCATCAGTGCCAGGGACAGCAGGATGCATTGCCTGCATAGGTCCAGGTGTGGTCTTGCTGCCTACAGACACCACCTGGTGTCTTACATGCTGGGATGCAATGTAAGCCTGAACTTGTTTCCCTTGGTATGATCCAGTCCCAACTTGGACATATCTGTGAACTGCAAGAGCTGTGTTTCTCCACACATCAGCTGGCCCACCAGTATCAGGGTCTCTGTCCTTATTCTTCATCATCTGAGCTCAAAAGACTCTGCTTTTCACTTTCCTTTCACTTTAGGCAACTTAAGGCTTTGAGAGAGAGATCAGAAGGGAGAAATTGCCTCTCAAAGAAAATTTGCCCATATCTTCCCTGGACTGAGGGGTTCATCACCTTTATAAAAACATACAAAACAAAGCAATCTTTTACAGATGGCATTTTTATTTTACTCACCAACAACACTGTAATGTATGTAAAGCCAGCAGCAGTTGTTACAAGTATTGGAATGGACCAGTCACTCCAATATCCCATTCGGTTATATAAAAACCTGAAAAATAAGTATGAAATAGAAAYTGAGAAAGAATTCAACACCATAGCATTTCCACTAGGATTAAAAGAAACCTTCAGAAAATTTGCCTTTCAGGTTCCACCATACTGATCAGAGATAGGCAGCAAAAAGCACAGTTCATTTTGAAACAAAATCCAGTGTTTGCGCTTTGATCCCTCATGGGAAATTAACTCTGCAAAGAGGAATCAGACAATTATGTTGAGCACAGCAACAATGTTACTTAGGGAAAAAATAGAGTGGACTAGGCTTTTTTTCCCCCCCTTCAGGAAAAAAAAATATATACATATATAAAATATATTAAAAAAATACATATATTTTTTTTCAGAAAAATGAAAGAAAAAAAAGCATTCCTGCATGTATTGTAATCAGCTTAAGCAATAGCTCCAAAGCTGTCCCTTATGCTAACAGCCTAATAAATATAGAGATAGCATCAAGGACAGAAAGAAAAGGAGTGTTGTGCATAACTAGGCTATTTACTCAAGGACCAAGCTCTTTGCAGAGGGATGAAGCAACAGTGGTAACTGGATCTCCTCTACATATCAAATACATTGACGCTCATTTCAATGAGTTGAAGAGAAGATCCAGCCTTGCAAGAATGGAGATAACCAGCAAYGGGCTTCAGGACTTCCAAAACCAGGGCTGGCTGGAGAAGGATGTGCATCATTTCAGTCTTCCTTTCTCCACCAGTGAAGGGTTTGTCTGCCCAGTGGACTGTGGGTTTTCTTTTCAGGGAGTTGCCTTGTCCTTCTGGTTGCTCTCAAGCCCAGATGGATCACTCAGCGACTCCATGATCCCTCTACCCAAAGTTGACAAGGGGCAGCCATCATGTCCTGATGAGGACATGATGAGAGGGGCTGGATGAAGAGGATGAGAGCAGGGGCTGAAGTGAGGTTACAGCAGTACCAAGATAGAGGTGACATCCTAACAGCGATATCTCTAAAGCACTGAACCAGCTCTTGGGTTCTTCTAGATTACCATCACCTGCCAGTGGATTTCCTACAGTTCCCTGATGCACATGCAGAACAAGTTAAGGTGAGCAGCACAAAAATATAGAAGCCACATGCCTTACCTGTAGCCTAGCAGTCATGGCACTACTCTAAAAACAGAGAAAATGACGTTCACTCCCTGCCTTAGCATTTAGGTTTGCCATGCTTATTCCTCCACAAAGTCTCTGGCCTAAATGATTCCATCCTCCTGCTGAAACCATGAGACCAGCAGAAATGAAAATGAGATCTAAGTCTACAGAGGGCATAGTCTGAAGTGTCTGGTCCAGTTACCCRGGGTCTCTTGTTGAAGGATGGAGGTACAGACCGTGGGAGGGCTGTACACAAAGTGGACAGCAATCACATGGAGTAAGCAGCAAGGTTTCCAAATGCTCTTCGCCAAAGACCCCTGTGGCTGAGAGGTTGAGAGCAGGTTCATAGAGGTCTCCAAGGAATAGTTTGGCCATGGCTAGACCAGCTCTGGAGTGATGGATGGACAAGGCAACCTCCAGGTTCTTCCAGGACCATTAAAGTTTCCACTGATTTGTATTTCAGAAACGCAGGTTCACTCATGGGTTGGACTGACCACATGCTGTGAGTGTCCTCCTTACTTCACCTTCCAGAGGGTGTTAATGCCTGCAACCTGTCTCTCCCCACTGCGTCCATGAAGCCACAGAGCAAGGATAGCTTTATGAACAGCTACATCAGACGAGGCAGACCACTATCTGTTGTGACAGCACTGTAAGAGATACTGTCCCTTGTGCCTGGCAGTAGGTCTCAAATGTCAAATTTGCATTTAAATAGCCATATGCTTCCCAGTGAAGCTCTCCTGGAGTTGTACTAGTAAGTCATTAAAGCACATTACACACGTTACAGTAATAAACAAAATAGGCTCAGCCAAGCATCTTCCACCTTTGCATTCAGATGGGGGAAGAAACAAATAAATAAATAAACCAGGCATCCAGAAGTGCAGAAAGAAAGAAATATGGTCCCAAGGAACAGCACCCTCCCCAAAACCAAGACCAGAGCCACCTCCAATCCAGCCTCCCATACTGCAGGTTCATATAGCAAATGGATTTCTGGGTGTCCCGAGTCTTGAAAACATCTCAGAATCCAGTATTTCTCCTGATAGCAAAACAGTAGCACATGCACTCTTCCCTTCATGCCAGCCCCAGACATGCCTGCCAAAAGTCTCACTTCTGTCAGTCTCCCRGAGGATTTCCCTTTCCCCATAGCCAGGCCAAGAAGGTGAAATAGCAGAGATGGAGCAGGACACAGATGTTCACTGAAGCAAAAAGCTGACACTGATACCACAGGGACYACTGGGAGAAACGGCTGCATTCCTAGTGATGCTGCCCAGACRTGGCCCTCGGCCTCTTCATGCACAAGGGTCTCTTAAAAGGGAAAGAGACAACCTGCATGCTGAATCACAAGCAGTTGTAGCTAAGCTTGAGAATTGGAGGAAGATGCCCTTGARAGAGCAGCAGCATAAACCAGGAGGTGTGAAAAACATTTTTAAAAATTCATAGTATGGAGAGTTTTTGCAAGCTGTCCTTGATCCATCACCATCATGTCATCACAGCAGGCAGGATGCTTGCAGACTAGGGCACTCATCTCCTTTCACCTCAATGCTGTCTATGGCCACCTGTGTGCTCCACGTTCAACCCTGCTGCCACTGAAACAAGCAGGGATCTTCCCAAGAGCATACATAGGTGTCCTGGAATAAATCTGTCCCACCAGTTTCTCCTGGCTCTGTTCTTCATCTCACTCAACGAATTGGCCAAGATCAGGAACAGCCTTAAAATGTGCTACACTGGACTAGTAATACTGCTGGTAGAGAGAAAGAAGCAGGTCAGAAACTCTGCCCCAGCCTCGTCCCCATCACCCAAATCCAACATCATGCATGAGACAAAAACACCTGGCTTAACAACTGTCCCATCCACCCTGTCCAGGAACAAAGATTCTATATCAGACCTGGAGAGCACAATCCTTGGGCTCAATGCTCAACCCCTACCCAGGCTCTGTTTGAGGATTCAATGAGCCACAATGAAAGGGACCTGAAGGGATTCAAACATGCTGCCTGGAAAAAAAAAAGAGGAGGAAGAAAGGAAAGAGTTCTTCTGAATTTTTTGTTCATGACACCAGCAAGGCCTCGGTACCTTTTTTTAATTTTTTATTTTTTTTCTCTGATGTCCCTTCAAGTTCCTGAGCTCCTATGGCTGTGTCAGGTCTTCATTTGATGTGCAAATGACACTTTTAAAGTGCTGTCTCCATGGTAGTTAGGAACCAGATCAGTCTTCTGTSAAACTATGAAAGAAAAAGTTTGCTATGCAGACTTATATTTATAGTCCCTCTTTAACAGAGATATAGGCAGGGTCACAAGCTACAGCATCTTCCACATCCCTTGTTAACCAAGGTCAAGCTTTMCTTCTGTTCCTGCACACAGTTCTAACCTTGTACACTAAAGATTTGAAGCACAATGTAGCTAAATGCAGACGAACAAATAGGAAATGCTCAAAGCAACAAATTTAAAATATTTACTTTGAATTTAAAAGGCACAAAGACCTTTCACTAACAAAGGCCTCATTGCATATTCACGGCAGGAAGCTTTGCAGGTGAACAGTAAACGCCTGCAGTGATACATGTCAAGCTGCAATTTTATCTTAACCTTCTAAAGCCCGTTTCAAACCCTGAGGGGTCCCTCAAGTCTTTACAAGTTTAGAGGTCAGTTCCTCACATTTAGATAGGTTAAGCTCCACTACTGCTACAACTAGCCCTGTTTTAATCACGGGCTCAGTCTGGRTTTTACATAAGTAGGTAAGACCATTGCTGGACCCTGAACCTGCTGCATAAGTCATGAGCACTGTGCTCATCTGTAGGTTTCTGCTACCTTGTAAGTCATCTCTGGTAGGTATTCAGCAGAACTARGCAATGCCTTACATATCTAGGTTAAGAAACAAAGAACATCTTCATAAATTCAGGTTTCAGGTGCCATTTTAGCCAAGGAAAGGCCAATGAGAGGCACTGTCCGCTGTCCTAGTTTCACTGTAATGAAGCATATTAATAACCCTGCAGGGGTTCTGGAGGATACTAGGTTGAATGAACCAACAGGCTCCCTCCACTGTAAGGTCCAACTGGGTTGCGTTAGGAAAGTTGCACGTGTTAGGAAAGCTTCATGGAGGTGGGCTTGCTTACAGTATGAAAGGAGAGGCTAAGAGGTGATCTGATAACTGTCTACAGCTCCTTCAAGAACTGCTGCAAAGCTGATGAAATCAAACTGTTCTCAGCAGAGACAGACTATCACAAAGGGTAAATGGCCTTTAAAGGTTCAGGTTGGACATAGGGAAAACCTTCCACTCCCAGAGGGTGATACAGTCCAAAAGAAGGGTGGAAATCTCCTTTAAGGTTTCAAGACCCCATACAGACCTGACAATAGCTCTGCTTTGAGAGGCTGGTTGAGTCAGGTCCCTTCAGATGGGCCCTGCACCCAGCGTTTCACCAGCTGCTCTACTGGGACAAGCAGAAGAGGCTCAGTATAGTCATTTGCATGTGATATAAGAAGGGAGAGCTCCTGAGGACAGGCTTCACGGGACAGGACCCAGCTGAGCAGCTCCTCACACTAACATGACAGCAAATCTTTACCCCGGTGCCTCCAGGGAGACCTTCCTCTAAGAAAGAAGCAGATAAACCTTAAAATAGAGTCATCAGTGGAATGGACATGAAGACAACAGGAAGAAAAAGCATCAAGGAAACACACAAAGATGGACCAGAAGTGACCACATCCAGTTAGCAACAGGGCTCACAGCTCTGCTGGGACCAAAACGATGCTTTCATCTCTTTCACATCCCATCTGGCCGGGATTTTTCCACTAACAACTGTCACGTTTTAATGGAGGCCACGCATCTGCGATGGGGAGGGAAAAGGGCCAGGCTCAGCCTGAATATTCCCAGTGGAAATTGTTTCCTCCCTCTCTGGGACCAGCATGGCTGTAATTAAAACCTCATCCCGTGTTATCATCCTCCCTCATGGCTTTTCCATAGCATATCGGGCTGTTTTGAAGAAATACTGCTCTTTCTCTCAACCTCTAGTGTCAACACATGGAGCAGGGGTCTAATTGGGGCTATGGCACACAGTGTAATTCTATTTTCAGTGCTGAATGGCAGTGTTTTAATAGGCAGACACAGCCCCACTATTTTGAATCTGGGGAGCCTCCTCTGTGGCCATTARTGCTCAGCTAGAGACTTTGCTTTTCCGGCGCTGGTAAATCCAGCAGGGTTTCCAAAACCCTGTGTGCACTGGGTTGCATGCAAAGAGAAGAGGCTTTGGACTGCAGGTTACGAGAGAAGCTTTTGCAATCCCAGATACACCTTACACGCACAGCAGACACATGCATCTCCTTCCTTTTCTGCACAAGGGAACCCAAAACGATGCCAAACCAGCACTGCAATGACTGTCTGTAGCATTCCCAGGGCTCTTAGATTCTCCCTGCATGAGTTAGTGCCTTTTTTTCCAACTCTGAAGTAAAAAGAACTTGCCTTTGCACTGGAGGTGGTATACAAGCATTCATATCCTATCTCAAAGGTATAAAACAAAAGAATTCCAAGAGATAAACACACACAAATGGAGCTACTTTTGCCTCAACCATGAAGAAATACGGTGTTGCACCTAGACTTTGCAGAAGGCTTAGCTTAGCTGTATGCCAGACTCTCCCCATTGATCACATGCTATCTATGATAAGATTTTATATCAGTTTCAATCCTGTTGATGGACCCTTGACCACCAGCCTTAATGCCACCAAGTCAAGGACATTACAGAAATTCTAGGGCTAGATTTGGAAGGAAATATAGCATTTTCCTTATATCCCTATTACAATTAGCAATAGGGGTTGGTTTCAGCCCCCCATAATGTATGTCTGAGGAAAGAAAATCAAACTGACTGAAAACTGAGCCCTGCTTACTCTTTCTCCTTGGTCAATAACCTAAAAAAAACATACACAGATAAACTTTGGAATGAACCATATGCTTTTGGGGATGCTCTCAACAAGCTTCTGGTCTGCTCCAAAGTCAACAGCATGCAGTAGGCCATTACAAACCATCTCCTTTCAGTTTACTTGACTGGAACTCCCCCACAAAAACATCTCTGAGAACAATGTTAGCTTGATTGCAAAGTGCCACCAACTTTGGCAAGGTCCAGAGTCAGACAGCCTTGTATTAGTCACTCCTGGAAGGAGACAGCTTACACCATTACATTACTAAACACTTGGCCTCATACAACTCCAGCATCGAAAGCAGGCAGCTCATTTGAAAGATCAGCTGCCCTGTGTGTTTTAAAATATTGTCTTCCTGTCAAAGATAATAAGCAAACTGTGACCAAGTGGCATGGTTAGAAGAGAGACTAAGGTATTGCCAAAATGCTTCAGGATGTTGCTGGGATAGTCAAAGGAAGGATGGGTTTCAGCAGTGGGGAAAGGAGGGCTGGCAATCCTCTAAACTGTCCAGCGTATCCCAGAGGAAAACTTGCCTGCAGTTCCTTTCACCATTGCAAAATTTTCCACACCCATGTCTGCTCCAAGTTGATTTTTTTTTTCTCTTTTATATTTTATGGAATGTTTCAACCCAACTGCTCAGCCTCTTCCGAAAACAGCCAACAACAGAAACAAACAAACACACGCTCGCTCACATGATTTCAGTTCCACCTTTGTTTTCATATGTCRTTTACTAAGGAGCACTTGCCCAGAGCTCTATTACAACCAAGTAGCAGAGACGCAAGGCCACGGTGCACCTATTGGTGCAGACAGAAGCAATTCTCATCAAATCTCACTTTGCATTTGCCATCATTAACAAATGCATGGACCCCAGTGTACCCAACCTGCTTCGAAAGGCCTTTTTAGACATGACAGCAACCAAACTTCATAAGAGTTTGCTGCTCTGCCCATCTTGTGGTGACAAGGACCTCTACTCACCAGTTGAGGGCCTCTACTCACCAGTTGATTTCATTGTAGTCATTATGGACTTCCCACCAGAAGTAGAACCAGACCAGTGTCAGGAAGAAGGAGGAGGTCAGAATTAGGAACCAGAGGCGCTCCCACTGCAGAGAGAAAGAAAACCGTCATTAATGCTACTGCCTTTCAAGGTTGAATCCCCATCCGGACCCATGTCTCCTGTAATGCAAGTGAGGTTGACATGGATGAACTAGATCCTTCCATGGGCAGATTTCGCTTCAGTGTGCATAGACCTCTAGCTTGGCTGCAACAAGCTTTGCAAAAAGCATAGCCACTAGGTTACACGATATATCAGACCAAATGCTTGATGTAACAGCACCAACCTCAACTTGATTAGGTCAGATCTCAAGTCTTTTCCAGATTTAGACAGGTACCAAAAGTCTGTGCAGGCATGGCCTCACATTCTGATCATTTCAGAGATGGGGAAATGCCCTTGGAGCAGAAGAGGTGTCATCAACGACAGCTGAGCTCACCGAGATGTCAAAAACAGCTCGGCTCTGTGAGCTGGGCGAAGATCTCGCCTCCTCTTCCCTTTGAAGGCTAAGCGAGGGAGGAAAACAGCCTTTTCCCAGTGAGAAATGGGGGATATGAACCCTTCCTCCTCCTCCCAGGGTTCACAAATGCTGCAGAGCATGAGCCCTCAGATGCAACATTTGCTCTCTGCTTATACACACACATATGYGAGTCTTTTGCAAATTAAACAGCAAAAGGAAAGGCCACATCAGGCTCRGATGAAAGAGGTTTGCATTGCCTCTTGGTTTTGATGAATGTTTTATTGACGCTCGCATTTGATGAGTGTTTCAAATAATATCAAAAAAAAAAAAAAAAAAGGAAGAAAAAAAAAGCCCTAAAAGCAGCTGTTCAGTGCCCTACTCCAACAGCCCAACAGGATGGGTAGAAATTCTCAATCACATCCCCAGCAAAAACAATGCTGCAAGAAAGCTGCCTATAACCAACACCACTTCCATGTGTTCCTCAGTGGTTTTACTCCACAGGCATTAAATAGTCCTGCAGGCACGCACGCTTCCACTTCAAATAGCAGCCAGTTTTCTTGGAACAAAGCACTCCAGATAAATTCGTGATGGAAAAATAAGAGTAAAGAAGGGATGAAGATTGAAAAAAGAAAGAAAAAGTACACAAGTACTTSTACTACTATAATCTATAATTTCTTTCCAGATCCTGGATGCATCATTAATCTCTCCTGAAAATAACATTTTCTCTAGAACCACATTATTTTGGCAATACATAAGTAACACGTCTACTCTCCGCTCTTCCTTCCCATCTTAAGGGCTGAAACTACTTAACTATGTATTGACTACGCTTCATCATGAATCACCCTAGATACCAATCTTGTGACATAGCTCTTCTCTTTAAAGCCCAGGCCATAAACAGTACCAAAAAAAAAAAATAATAATAATAATAATAATAAAAAAAAGGAGTTAGAATTATTTAATTCCTGCTGTGCCAAAAGTGATCTTCTCTGTCAGAAATTCCCAGTTTCTGGACAGGAGTTATGGCTTGAATTTTTCTTCAAGACAGACGAGTTTATTATGCAGCTTGTTATCTATCAGATATCAGCAGGGCCAGATGCCTAATTCCCACGAGCAGCTTTGTGGCACGGAGAAACAACACAAGAGCAATGAGGAGGAGGTCTGCAGGCACTTTTCCATGTAGCTACTGAGTATAATCAAAGCCACGTAGCTAAACTACTTGCCCATGAGTTTGCAAACTATATTCTCCCCATTTCATGTATGCGCTAGAAGGATGGGCCATCATGTCTACCCAGCACCACCGATGCAATTCGGCACCAGCTGAACCAAACTCAGATGCACGATCACAAGGTATTGGATAGAGTTGGGGTCCTGCACAGCCTCCAGCACAGGAGTATTCAATTCATCACCTTGAATTTGCAGTTCTTACCCTTCCGTAAAGCAATAGTTTCTAACTTCAACTGCTAAAAATATCAAAGACTTGAAATTCWGTCTTTCTGATCAAGCACAGCCACAAGCAGGTGGAGGAAACGGTACTGCACCTACAGAAACTCAAGAAGGTTTGAAGATGTTTGAAAAATGTCCATATTTTCAGTTCCACAAGACTTCATAATAACATCTCCACAGACTTTTCRACAGTTCCTCTAGAAAACCCATTTTCACCCTTCCTTCCCCTTCTGGTCAGGCAGAGCTTCTGCAGAAACACATTCAAACCCATATGTTACACCTACCACTGCACTTGTAGTCCCTGTCTATTGTGGAGCTATATCAAAAAACAGGAGTATGATTTCTTATTCCAARGGTATCCAAAGGCCTGCTAAGAGCCCCAAATGAGAAACAAGTGCAGACTGAGAGGTTACAAAGTGTCACACTTCTAGTTTGTTAATGATTTTTAATCATGCAACTCTATAAATAAATAGCAGAGAATGAGGATGAATATTTATTTATTTAGAATATTTTAGTGCATCCCCAACTGTACCCCATGTCAGATAGAAGCATTACTGCATCAACAGGGAAGGAACATGGCAATAAATGAATAAAATCAAAAGGAATTGCCAACTTGTTAAAAACAATCCTGAACATCTTATCAAACAGCACACRCTAGATTTTTTCCAGCTCTTACTTTTAAATTACACTGCCACCGCAAACTCCCAAAGCATGCCAAAACCACCAAAGTCACAGCATTATTTATCACCCAGCACCTGCAGAGAGCAGACAGGCTCAGGGAGATTATTCTATTTTCCATAAAATCTGTAGGAGATACGGTGTACATATGCCCATTTCTCACGCACACAGCCTCCCACCTACCCCTCCCGTGAGCACTATTTCCAATTCAATCAGTCCTGTTATATTGAGAGATGAAATTTCTCACCCATTTCTACACTTTAATTGATGACACATATGCTGGAAGACATCTCTTGGATTAGCGTGGTATCTTTTCTAAAGCAAAGGAATTTGTTGACCAACAAGTCCTTTTTTTTTTTTTCTCTTTTCTTTTTCTTTTTAAAGAGTTTCTTTGGAGGAGGTAACTTGTCTATCACTAGAGAGGGAACATCTGCTATAACAGTGACACACAGTTGAGGCACGTGTGTCTGCCACAGCTTTYTGCTGCCAAATTACCGGATGAGCACGTTTCCATGTTGCACTACTTTACAGAAGACTGAAAAGTGCCCATTTTATAATTACTTAATGAACTCCTTTCACATTAATCACTATCTAGCCAAAAATCACACAGCAAGATATCAGGAACTGAACTGGAGGCGACTGGGACTTCCAGCAGAAAAGGGACACGTAAGATCCTAAAAATCACGATTTCTCCACGTGAAACTTGATTGATAGGGAACAGATATCATTACAATTACACGTGTCCCTCTCCTTGTCAGGCTTAAGTATTTTCTATTGCTGCTGGATCCATCAGAAAGTTCACCCTAGCCCATACCATAGACACCCAAACATAACAGCGAGGTACAACCAGKTGAGAGAAGACACTAAACTGCTTATTTGTTACCTCATTCCAGTACTTGTATGCAGTGAGTTAATCCCTTTTAGACACACTGAAATTGCTGGAGTCACCTCGTTTAACATCAGTCCTTTAATGTTCTCTCACAGCCTACCTCCATGCAACCGGTCACGTCTTGGATCCTTAAAACATGCCTTGATGTTGGGATAAAAGCTTGGGAGACTCCCTAAAGCAAGCCCACCATCTTCAGCATCCCCTGTGGCACTCAAAAGCAAGGCAGAGTCTCAAAATGAGTTAGAAAGAGAGAAGCCAACTTTGAACAACRAGCAGGTAGGAGGAAATGTCAGCACTGGGTGCCACAGAGGATGCTGAAGGTGGTGAGATTGCTTTAGGGAGGCCCTGCTGATGGTTCATTGCAAACAACTGTTCAGCAGTCAACATGGGAGAAGTCACGTGCCTTCCAGCTTGTGAATCTCAGAAGCTTTCCAGTGSAGGAGGCTGAATGCCACCAAGATCTTATCCTTATTTATACCCATGCAACCAAGAATGGCAGCTCACAGGTCCAAACAAGTGATTTATTCTCTCTTCTTGGGTCTTGTGCCCAACAGTGTGGGGGTTGCACAGCTCCTCACATCAAACCCTCTGTAGAAGCAGATCCCAAATCTCTCCTAAAGCAGCTAGAGTGTGCAAAATTTTGCCTACAGAGCCTTAAAAATAGGGGTTAYGTTGTTGGTAGGTGGAGAGTACGATAGCAAAATAGATTTTTTCCCCCCAATTAAGAGATATATTTTCCTTAAAAGATTAAAGGTCATAAAGGGCAATTTCACAGCTTTCAACCAAGATGTCATTAAGACCCATCAGAAAAACATACTGTTTAATGGAGGGAGTTAAGTCAGAAACGTGTGCCAAGCTAGGGTACCACAATTTTGCAGACTTCTAACAAAGACTGGTCTTGGCTTTGGTCTTCTAACAAAAATTCAATAAATATAACAAAGCTATCAGTTCCTTGAGATGTAAACTCCCTTCAGTGTTTGAAAGCCTCATATTCAGAAAGATCATTAATTTWAAAAAAATAAAAAATAAAAAAAATCACTTTAAGGACCCAACCTTCATTAGAAGATGACARGCAGGAAAGAGACAGCAATCATTACCAGCCAGAAACACAATATGATGACAAGGAGGCTGACAGGCAGAAGATCACACRAGCCCACTGAAATCAATAGAACAACAAAACTCCAACTTGCCTCCCCGCACTCTGACTTTGACTCAAAACCTCTTCTCGTTAGATTCGTTATTTCAGGAAAGTGGGTAAATGGAGTTTCCTTACAATTTCACCTTCCTCCTTGCTGTTAATTTATATTTTACGCTGCGTAAGGAAATCGCTTGTCATTAAAATGCCAAGCGATTGAAAACAAAAGAATGCTTTTTTATTTATTTATTTTATTTTCCTCTTAAAACAGTTGGCCTCCTGAAACCCAAAAAACACGTGCTTTACAGAGTCACATTTGGAAAGAAAGTGGATGCAAACCAGAGCTGTAAAAGCCACCTGCTTCACCTCTCCACATTAACACCGAGTTATAATAAACACCGCGCAGAGTAACCCATCTTAGCAGTTAGTTAGGGCAGAATATTATCT